CCTCCAACCTAATAGCGATGCCCTCCACCTAGTAATTCTTGCTACTAGAAAGCTTGCGTGTTACTAGTATAGCGATGGCCTCCAACCTAATATTACTAGTATAGCGAATGGCCTCCAACCTAGTAGCGATGCCCTCCACCTAGTAGCTTCTTGCTACTAGAAAGCTTGATTGTTACTAGTATAGCGAATGGCCTCCACCTAGTAGCTTCTAGTACTGACTGTTCCAGTTCTACCACCTATATAGTTCCTTGCCTTGGAGATGCGTTGCCCCGTCTTCGCTGAACAGGCCACCTTGGCGTGCGGCCACGACGAATCCCTCCGGCCCGAGAAAGTCCGGGAGTCGTGAGGATCCCAGATGTTCAATGAAGGACCATCAAAAGGTCGTCTAGGACACACATATATAGTAACATATAGTTTAGTAATACGTATAGGCTATAGGATTGACAGGAAGTTGGAAGTTGAATCACATATACAAATGTATATATATATGATTGTATATGTATATGGGACAATCCCAAAAACAAAGACAGGAAGATTGAATCGTGATGTGGCCTCTTGGCTGTGGCTTAAAGATAGGGGTACAGTACCATCCAACGCCCCCCTGGTCAATGGACTGATGAGCTATTATGACATTCTAAGACTCAAACCGGGTCTCACTGTGTCTGATGGTTGGGCCGACCAGTCCATGATGGGCCTTGAAGGACCTCAAAGCCCGACCAGTCCAAGAAGTGTATGTCAAAGTTGCATTCACTGGATTTCGAAACATTCATGCTTACGGAGGATTCACTTGTCTCATCTTGTCTCTATCTTGTCTTTTGCAAACTGTTTTTGCATGTCTCGCATCTTTTTGTCCAGCAAAAAAGACACGAGCCCCGTAAGGCACACGGCACATTGGGACCCCAACCGGACCCCACTGCGGTCCCACCGGGCCACCCGGACCACCTCAGCCCACTGTCCCACGCCGCCCAAGTTGGAACGGATCGCCTGGAAATCAGAGCCGGGCGACACGGAGTGGAAGTCGAGTGAATGGGTTTGAAACAGCGAAACATAACCAATTCAATCCCATTCATCACCACCATCTGGACTTGTTGACTTCAAGCAGCCGAGTCAGAGCCCAAACCCCCACCATGGCCCACCCCAGTCGGCTTAGCGTGAGTGAACCGTGAACCATCTGAGGATGAGAAAATGGATCCAGCCATGCAGATCCGTCTGGATCTCTTTCTGTCAGATCCCTTGGTCGTGTGTGTCAGATCCCTGGGGGGCGGGTCCAAACACCTAGGAGCTTTTTTGGCCCTTGGAGTCAAGTCTAATCGTGACACACTCCCAAAAAGGTGCTGGTGTTGGTTGCCCACCGCCTATTCCATTGCCCGAATCTGACTTCTGCCTACATGAGGCCATGTCAACCCCTCAAAGCCACTTAGATCCAAACAGCTCAGTACATTGTTCACTATATCTATATATAGCAGCATGACAGAATGCAGCCAACTGAACTTCGAGGCAGGGCTGCATCCACAGTCAAGCAAGTTGACGGAATTTCCCAGTGACCATGGAAGGCCACTCTTTGGTTTGTTGCAATGACATGACTGCAAACGAACAAAACAATGAGGAGACCAACCAACCAACCAACCAACCAACCAACCAATCAACCAATGGATTCTTTGAAACAAAAGGAGGAGACCCTCCAATCAACCAATGAAATTTGATGTATTTGAGTTTGCTTTCCCAGTGACCATTGTTTTCTCAGCGAAGGGGGTGCATTTTGTACACAGGCCCTGGTCATCTTTCTCATCGTTGGCCTGGATGAACTTCTCTTGCGATTCGCTGTCCTCGCTTCGAGGAGAAAGGATCGCTTGGACGTTCTTGGACTTGGCATCGGCCCTAGGACCTAGACTTTAGGTAGCGCATTGTTCATTGTAGCTCACACTAGGCATTAGGGAACCATGTACAAGTAGCAGCCACAGGGCCTTAGGACCGTAGGTCAGAGCCAGGTCCAGACTGAATCAGATTGGTCGAATCAACACCTGCAGGTACTTGCTGGTTTGGGTCGATCCACACCTGGACACCGGAGGTAAAAGACCACTTGTTGGTTAGAGGAACATCGTCATCCAAAGGCCATGCCATCCACTTCCAGGACTATTTCAGGGAGTGTATCAGGGAGGCTTAGCTTGGGAAGTGTGAAACACTCATCCACTACCATGCACTCGTCACGGGAGCTGTGACCAAGGCGTCACCCTCTCCAGGTGATTCGATAACACGGTTTGCAAGTCAGAGGAACCCTGAAATGCAGGGAGAACATGTTTGAATGTTGCCAAAGAATGTGCTTGGACGCTCCAGGACTCCAGGACAGTCCAACAAATTAGAACTGGTGATGCCGCTGATGCTGGGCAAGAAAAACATGCACACACACACACACGGGAAAAGGCGTTCCATAAAATCCTGCTTTGGCTTTGGGAAGTCCAACAAAGCATTTTGGAGGATCAACTTCTATAGCTTTCCTACAGAGTTGCTGTTCTCAGCGTTTCGACACCCTCTGAGAGCAACACGTGGATGACGCAAAGCCCTGAATGAATCCGCTTCAAGCCGCTTGAACAACCCTCTTTCATCCTCTTTCCACCAAAATCCCTCCAAACTCGCCAATACGACTGACTCTTTCCCCCTATCTAACCGACCTCCTTCCAGGGCCCGTCCAAGTCGCAAACCTCCTCCATCCCTTCCTCCATCCCCATCCTCTCCATCCGCACTGGTGCAGTAGATCCCCTCCGGGCCTTGTTGGGCACCGCATCCCACTTACTGAGCACGATCACCGCTGCCGTGCCGCGCTCCTCGATCGCGCGCGCGATGTAGCGCATCCTCGGCGATCGAGCGGGACCCGGTGATCGGTGGAGGGCCGAAGGCTGCAGTGAGTGAACATCCAATCAACCAAGATCGAGAGAAACACACCATCAACAGCACTAATGATCCGTGCCGCAGTTCATGCAGAGACTCCTAAAGTTTTATGTACTCTTCACCTGGTGATATCCATTGTGGAGCGATTGACTGGCGGACTGAATGATGCAAGCAAACCATTTGAGCCGCCAAAAAGGTGACAGTGATTAAAGCTTTTGGAGCATATCCTGTGATTTAGGAAGTTGTGGTTCATCCATGAATTTGGAGAATCTGCACCTGGATCTCACTCTGAACTTGTGATGACGCAAATGGCCTGGACCATGGTTGCACGGAGTCTACTTGGGGTCCCTATCACCCTGGAGGGCATTGAAGCAACAGCTTAGCAACTGGACATGCATAGTTGTCCTTTTGTTCATCATGTGCACCCTTGATTTCACTGCTGTCGAGAAGCTGAATGTCCGGACACCAATATGCATTCCTCAGACACGTTGGCCGTGGCACCTTCCATCCGACAAACATGGAAGTGGAACATGGCCCCTTCAAACAGGCCGTTCTCCACTTGCATTTGTTGGAGGCAGGGCAATCAACTCAAAGATCTGTGGAGAAGGTCAAAGGGTCGCTCCAACCAGAATGGCAAGGTGCCACTTCATGCCATCCTTTAAAAAACAAAGATAAACATAGAGCCCTACCAGGAAAATAACGCCTTTTTCACGGTCGGTGTGAAGAACAAACATCTTGAAACACCGAAGGCGTTATGGAGGATTGCCCAAACTGAAGTTCCATTGAGTTGGCTGCTGCATGGAGGTTTGAGGTGGTGGTGTCAGGTGAACGGGCGGCAAGGAACCGTGTCAGGGTTTTCTTCATGTTTTGTTTCCCGTGAAGTCGTGAACTCACTTGGTTTTGTATAATGGTTTTGGCTTGGGGGTGGTACCGTTGAGTTCTTCCGCCAGTTTCAGAAACATTGTGAAACATTGTCAAACCATTCACTTGGGAGGTCTCAACATCCAAAGACATACTTATGCATTTATGACTAAAACAAGATGTCCTTGAAAATGCTATATTTCGGCACGATGTTCAGCCCGGTCGGGTGTCGTGTTCCACTGATGTTCCACTTGGTTCAGCGTCCCTGGATAAAACCTCTGCAGCGCCATGTGCTCAACTTCACTGCTCCCTAGTGCCAGACAAATCTCCCCAGTTTCTTGTGGCCCGTCATCACTTCGCTGGCATCGAGCCTTAGGAGGTCTCGCACAGAGTGTGGATTTCTCAGAGGAAGCTGTATGCTTCCCCCAACAATCATGGAAGTGGACAAAAAAATCCTATGGTAGAGCAAAACCTGCCCGCACCGAAGGCGCGGAGGGGTTAAACTGTAAGTGGCGCATTCATCGCGGCTGTAATGTTTTACCTAACATGTTCATTTGGGAACAAAAATGCGTATTCTACATCATGAGGTGGTGGGAGAAAACATGGAAAGACACAAAGTTTTCACATATCATCTATGCCTGACTATGTTTCTCATTGTCGTATCATTTGCATCCACTAAATCTGTACTTCAAGGTCCACAAAGTACTGCACCTGCCACGACATCTGCACTTCAAGATTGACAACATGCTGCACTTGCCACGAAGTCTGCACTTCAAGGTCATGGCTGGTTCGTTTCCTTTATTTGGTGGTACCTGCTTTGTTGTTTATACCTTTCTTTTGCTTGTCAACTATCTAATTCGTTCTGTGTTTGCTTTATTGGTTGGAAGCAAGGGAAAGGCCAACTTGCCTATGTTGCAAACTGTTGTATCATTT